AAAATATTTGAACCTAAGACCTGAAACTATGAAACACTCAGAAGTAAAAGGAGGGGGACAGCTTCATGACATTGATCTAGACAAAGATTTCTAAAATATGACACCACAAGCATAGAAAACAAAAGCCAAAATGACGTGGTACTACGTCAAACTAAACTTCTGCACACCGAAGGAAACAGGATGAAGAGAGAACCTATGGAAAGAGGAGGCAGTATTTGCAAACCGTATATTGAATAAGGGGTTGATATCCAAATATACAACATATTCCTACTACTTAAGAGAAAAAAAAATCTCCCAGTCCCAAATAATCTAATTTTTTTAAAAAAATTTTTTATTGCATTTTAGGTTTTGGGGTACATGTGCAGAACACACAAGACAGTTGCATAGGTACACACATGGCAGTGTGTTTTGCTTCCTTTCTCCCCTTCACCCACATTTGGCATTTCTCCCCAGGCTATCCCTCCCCACCCCCCCTCCCACTGGCCCTCCCCTTTTCCCCCCAATAGACCCCAGTGTTTAGTACTCCCCCCTCTGTGTCCATGTGTTCTCATTTTTCATCACCCGCCTATGAGTGAGAATATGCGGTGTTTCATTTTCTGTTCTTGTGTCAGTTTGCTGAGAATGATGTTCTCCAGATTCATCCATGTCCCTGCAAACAACACGATCTCATCATTTCTGATTGCTGCATAATATTCCATGGTGTATATGTGCCACATTTTCCCAGTCCAGTCTATCATCATTGGGCATTTGGGTTGATTCCAGGTCTTTGCTATTGTAAACAGTGCTGCAATGAACATTCGTGTACATGTGTGCTTGTAGTAGAACGATTTATAGTCCTTTGGATATATACCCAGTAATGGGATCGCTGGGTCAAATGGAATTTCTATTTCTAAGGCCTTGAGGAATCGCCACACCGTCTTCCACAATGGTTGAACTAATTTACACTCCCACCAACAGTGTAAAAGTGTTCCTTTTTCTCCACATCCTCTCCAGCATCTGTTGTCTTCAGATTTTTTAATGATCGCCATTCTAACTGGCGTGAGATGCTATCTCAATGTGGTTTTGATTTGCATCTCTCTGATGACCAGTGACGATGAGCATTTTTTCATGATTGTTGGCCTCATATATGTCTTCTTTCGTAAAGTGTTTGTTCATATCTTTTGCCCAATTTTGAATGGGCTTGTTTTATTTTTCCTGTAAATCTGTTTGAGTTCTTTGTAAATTCTGGATATCAGCCCTTTGTCAGATGGGTAAACTGCAAAAATTTTTTCCCATTCTGTTGGTTGCCGATCCACTCTAATGACTGTTTCTTTTGCCGTGCAGAAGCTGTGGAGTTTCATTAGGTCCCATTTGTCTATTTTGGCTTTTGTTGCCAATGCAAATAATCTAATTTTTAAAGGGCAAGGGATTTGAATACACATTTATCCAAAGAATGCATGCAAATGGCCAAGAGGTATACAGAAAGTCACACAGCATTATAAATCATCAAGTAACTGTACATGAACACCATGAGACATCACCTCATACCTGTTACAACGGCCAGTATCAAAAAAAGGCAAAAAATGAGAAATCACAATCTTCGTGCACTGCTGGTGAGAATGAAAAACAATATAGCCACTATGGAAAACAGTATGAAGGTTCCTCAAAGAATTAAAAATACAAGTACTGTATAATCCAGCAATCCTACTTCTGGGTATACATACATAAAATGGAATATTACTCAGACTTGTAAAAGAAATAAATTATACTATTAATGACAACATGGATGAACCGCAAGGACACTATGTAAAGTTACATAAGATAATCATAAAAGTATAAATTCTGCATGATTGCACTTGTATGAGGTATCTAAAATGATCAAACTCATGGAAGCAGAGAGTATGACTGATAGTGACTGCCATGGGGTAGGTGAAGGGAAAATGGGGAGTTAGTATTCGACGGGTATAAAGTTTTGGTTATGCAAGATGAGTAAGTTCCAGGGATCCACTGTTCACATTCAGCCTACAGGTAATAATACCGTATCATGCAATTAAAAATTGTTAAGAGTGGCCAGGCATGGTGGCTCATGCCGGTAATCACAGCACTTTGGGAGGCCGAGACAACCAGATCACTTGAGGTCAGGAGTTCGAGACTAGCCTGGTCAACATGGTGAAGTCTTGTCTGTACTGAAAATACAAAAATTAGCTGGGCATGGTGGCGGGCACCTGTAATCCCAGCTACTCGGGAGGCTGAGACAGAGAATCACTTCAACCCAGGGGCAGAGGTTGCAGTGAGCCAAGATCGCACCATTGCACTCCAGCCTGGGTAACAAGAGTGAAACTTTGTTTCAAAGAAAAAAAACTGTTAAGAGTGTAGATCTCCGGCCGGGCACAGTGGCTCAAGCCTGTAATCCCAGCACTTTGGGAGGCCGAGGCGGGTGGATCACTAGGTCAAGAGATCGAGATGATCCTGGTCAACATGGTGAAACCCCGTCTCTACTAAAAATACAAAAAATTAGCTGGGCACGGTGGCATGCTTGTAATCCCAGCTACTCAGGAGGCTGAGGCAGGAGAATTGCCTGAACCCAGGAGGCGGAGGTTGCGGTGAGCTGAGATCGCGCCATTGCACTCCAGCCTGGGTAACAAGAGCGAAACTCCATCTCAAAAAAAAAAAGAGTGTAGAAATCATGTTAAATGTGGTTATGACAATAAATAAATAAACAGACAGATAAGTAGGATCAAAATTTTAAATACTAAATAAAAAGGAAAAAGAATTAGGAACTTGCCATGACAGTACCATAATGCAAATCACCAAAGACAAGATTCATTGATCAATGCTGAAATTGGATGGCAAAGCATTAGATATGAACAGGATATTTATAAGAGTTGAAATATCTTCCCCCAAATGTTATTTATTATGGTAGTTTTGCAATATTCTCGTTAAATTACTCAATAGTCTTTCCTCAGAAAATGAAGCCTAATTCCTTCCTTCTGTTTGTGTCTAGGATGGGCTTGCTTCTAATATGTAGGGGATGGAAAAATAAAATGCTAGCTTTGCAGAGAAAAAATCTGGCAGTCACCATCTTAACCAAGGGATCAAATTGAACATCACCAGTGAAAATCATGTTGATTTGTATGTATATCTATAATCCTTGATATAACACAATGAGAAAAGCACTTCACTTCTGTGTTACTCTCCCCAAATTCCATATCCCACACTTCTGCTTACAGCTCTGACATGTAAATAGCTTGCAACAGTAAAAAGCTGGAGGAACTGAAAATAAATGATTTGTATTGGACCTACCAGAAAACTGCAGTTACAGCTCAAGTATGCACCCCAAACTATGGAGACACAGGCATGTCCAAAGAAATATAGCTACTATGATCTCCTGGCCAAAGCTGACGGTGATGGAGTCCTAAATGGGTAGGAACACTTAATAATAACTTTTACCATAGCTGGAAGCTGAGTATGGACCAGCATGACAGTGAGAGAATCCCAGGATCACAATGTTGAAAGGGACTTGCACTTTCATGGACTTTCCTTCCAGTGCTCAGAGCCTTCTTTATAAAATGTCATTTTTGGGTGGGAGTACCTTGCCAGGGCCAATTTACAAGCCTCATCCTAGCTGATAGGGAAATTTTTCCCATATCACAGGATCCCTCACCATTTCTGTGTCACCTAAGATGGAAAAATCCGTAATAAACAGTGGAAACGGATTTAAAAACATCGATTCAAAATTTTGCTGGTGGTGAACAGCATAGGGAACCCACAGGGGGACTGAATTACATCACTGGGAGGGCAGTGTAATTACCAACCTCCCACAAATAAAACTGGTATATGAGGGAGTACCACGAACAATCGTATGCCAACAGCTTAGATGACCTCAGATGAAATAGACAAATTTTGGGCCGGGCGCGGTGGCTCAAGCCTGTAATCCCAGCACTTTGGGAGGCTGAGGCGGGTGGATAATGAGGTCAAGAGATCGAGACCATCCTGGTCAACATGGTGAAACCCCGTCTCTACTAAAAATACAAAAATTAGCTGGGCATGGTGGCGCGTGCCTGTAATCCCAGCTACTAGGGAGGCTGAGGCAGGAGAATTGCCTGAACCCAGGAGGCGGAGTTTGCGGTGAGCTGAGATTGCGCCATTGCACTCCAGCCTGGGTAACAAGAGCGAAACTCCGTCTCAAAAAAAAAAAAAAAAAAAAAAAAATAAAAAGACAAATTCCCAGAAAGACAAAAAATACTTAACTGGATTAAAAAGAAACAGAAACCCTAAACAGAGCTATGACGACGAAAACAACTAAGATAATAAATGACAAATTTACCACAAAGATAGATCCAGGCCAAGATAACTGCACTAATGAATTATACCAACCTTTTAAATATTAATACTAATCCTTCAGAAATTCTTAAGCAATCAAGCAAATAAACACATATACCAACAGAAACAAAAGATAAGATCACACTTTCCAAGTTAAATGAGGGCAGCGTACCCTGATACTACAACTAGAAGACATTAAGGAAACAAAATGTATAGGCCAATATACCTTCTGCACCCAAAGGCAAAAATTCTCAACAAAATTCTAGCCACCAAATCCAGGTACCATTATACACTATGACCACAGGAATTTATCACAGGAATGCAGGTTGGGTTCCATGCACAAAGACAATGAGATGCATCATATCAATAAAACAAAGAAGAAAACCACACGATAGCCTAGAAAATGCACAAAAGCATTGACAAAATCCAAAACCAATTTTTGATTAAAAAAGACACCCAATAAATTAGAAATAGAGGTGGGAGGATTGCTTGGGCCTGGGAGGTAGAGGCTGCAGTGAGCTGAGATCGTGTCACTGCACTCCAGCCTGGATGACAGAGCAAGATCCCATCTCAAAACAAAATAAAAGAAAACAGAAATCAACAAACAGAAGTAATTAGAATGAGATGTAAACTTCCTCATTCTAAAATAGGCATCCAGAAAAAAATGCACATGATATAATGAAAGGCTCAATACTTACCTCATGACTGGGATTAAGAAAAGAAAGTCCACTCGTGCCACTTCTATTCAACATGGTATTGGAAGTTGTAGCCAGGGCAATTGTGCTAGAAAAACAAATAAAAGTCACTGAGAAGGGGAAGGAAAAAGTGAACCTATCTTTGCCAATCAGGCGACGTGTGTACAAAATCCTGAAGAATCCCCTAAAATACTATTAGCACTAAAAATGAGTCCAGAAACTTTTCAGTATACAAACTTAACATACTAAAAACAAAGCATTTTCATATGCTAGCAATTAACAATATGATGATAAAACAACGAAAACAATTTCATTTGAAATAGCATTAAGAGAGGGCCAAGCAAGACGGCAGAATGGATCTCCTGTGATCATTTTCTTCCAGAAACATCAATTCGAACAAGTATCCACACATAAAAATACCTTTACAAAAGCTAAGGAAAACAGATGAGAGATCATAGTACCATGGTTACAGCATGATATTAAGAAAAGATGGACTGAAGAGGGTAGGAAAGAAAGTTCTGTGTTACCAGATCACCCACTCCCTGACATCAGTCAGCAGAGTGCAGAAGGAGATACCTTCACTTTGGGTAAAGAGAGGGAAGCAACAGTAGGGCATTATCCTGGATCCCAGTACTGAATCAGCCACAGTGAAAATCAGCACACAGGATCAGCACACTCCCATGGTCCTGTCTCCAGGCTGGTACTCACAAATGGAACCACTAGATTTACCCTGGGGCCAGAAAGAAATCTGTAGCCCCTGCAACATGGACTCAAGTTCCAACCCATTTCACTGCTGACTGACCACAATGACCTTGGGCTCCAAATACTCCACGGCAACAGGCAAGCCTCAGCAGCCACATGCTCCAAGCACACCCAAGTACTGTGCTAGCTCAGTACTGGGCTCAGTACATAGCCTCAGTAGCTGTGGGCATTAGGTGCACCTCAATACTGCACTAGCCTCAATGGCCATGGGATTCCTGCTCAGTGCTGCACCATACTCAGAGGCATGGGATTCCAGCTTATGGCACTCTGGGGCTTAGGGCGTCCCCTAGCACTGCAGTGGCTGCAGCAGTCATGAGCTTAGGCACCACACCAATTGACCCAGGCAACAAAAGCAAAAATGCATAAATGGGATTACATCAAATCAAGAGGCTTTTGCACAGCGAATGAAACAATCAACAGAATGAAAAGATCTGTGCAATACTGGATTAGATCATATGCTGTTAGAGTCATTAGCAGGAATTCATGTGGCTATCTGGTTTTCTCAGCACAATTTATTAAATAGTGTTAAATAGTGTGTCCTTTCCTCAATTTATGTTTTTGTATGCTTTGTTCAATATCAGTTGATTGTAAATATTTGGCTTTATTTCTTGGTTCTCTATTCTGTTCTATTAGTCTGTGTCTACTTTTATAAAAATACCATGCTGCTTTGGTAACCATAGCTTTGCAGAATAATTTGAAGTTCAGTTTTCCTCATCTTTAATCTTGAATAAATATGCCAAAATTAATCCATGTTTTTAGTCTGATCATGAGAAACCATCAGACAAATCCATATTGTAGGACACTACAAAACAATTAGCCAGTACTTTTAAAAGGGTCAAAGTCATGAAAATTAAGTAAAGACTGTAGATTGGAGAACAGCTATGTAGAAGGCAAATAATTCCCATCTCTTGGTATGACACAAACTTGAATACTAATTCCTCATGAATGTGGCCAGAAACCGAGTTAACTGTAAACAATACAATGCAGCAAAGGTGATGAGATGACACTTAGGTTATCATGTTACATAAGCTTGTGATTTTTCTGTCTTGCTGCAAACTCTGTCCCTCAATGTCTCTGATGGAAGCTTCTGGCATGTGGGAGAAGCCAATGCTGGGAGGAACTAAATGCAGGCTTTGACCAACAGTCTGCAATGAAGTGAGTTCAAACAGCAATCATGTGAGCTAAGAAGCAGATTCTCCACCAGCTGAGAGTTTAGTGGAGACCTCAGCCTTGGCTATCATCTATGCCTTGACTCTTGACCCAGAGAACTGTGAGACAATACTTTATGCAGTTTTAGGCCAGTAAGTTTGTGGTAATTTACTAGGCAGCAATAAATAAGTAATACATGTAAGAACAAAATGTCATGTGCTATCCTGAACTGGATCCTGAAACAGGAAAATGACATTCGTGGAAAACCTAATAAATATGAAGAAAGTCTTTAGCTCAATTAACAGTTATTTTTACCACTGTTGGTGTCTCAGTTTTCATAAATATACTATGGCTATGTCAGATTTAACATTACAGGAAGCTGAAGAGCATATGAAACTCACTGAACTATCTTTGCATCTTTCTACAAATCTGACATCATAAAAATAAAAACAATAATTAAAAAGTATTATTGTGATAGAAAAGAACATGGAGAAAGACGAAAATGAACATGAACACAAACTTGGGCATAGGGGTTGAACAGGCACATACAGAGAATGCAAAGCTACTTCCTTTATCTAGTCAGCATTCCAAATCCAGGGGTACCTGCTTCAGGTAGACACCATCAAGCTCCAGGGACTCTCTTCTTCTTCCTTCTTCCCCCTCACACTCCTCATTACCCCATTGCCTGTGTGAGTGTCAGTCACCACTTCTTTAAAGGTAAGTGCCTATGCCTATGACATACCCCAGAAAGACCCATTTCAGACAATGGCTAGTCCCGTATCTGCAGAATCCCAAAAAAGACTCTTTGGAAGACATGACTCTGAACATTAGAAGTGATGATTGAGAAATAGGAGTAATAGGGAAAATAAATCATATTTAGGCACTTAGGAGATTTTTCTTTTCTTTTTTGGCTACAGCTTTTCCTTCCTCAAGGTTTCAAAACACAAGCGTACCTTCAAGCCTTTGAGAAAATCCTGTGATAACTAAGCTCTTTTCGTTTTAGACTCCATGAGGAATTATTTGGGACTACATATTCTGTTGACAATCACATGATGGAATTACAGTAAGTAGTGCCAAGCTGTAAAACCACAAAAAGCATATAGTCTTGATAGCAGGTGGGTGGTCTTCGTGTGAAAAAGAAAGTATTTGTAATCACAGGCATTTAAGCCAGTCCTTGCTTACCCATATCTGAAAATGAAGCTTTAGACCTAAACTTTGTATCGGGGTTAGAAAAGTGAGTGATTAAGATCATATTGTGCACAGGTAAAGAAATTCTGGTGAAATAAACAAAAGCCTTAGAAATAGAAATTCCATTTGACCCAGCGATTCCATTACTGGGTATATATCCAAAGGACTATAAATCATTCTACTATAAGGACACATGCACACTAATGTTCATTGCAGCACTGTTTACAATAGCAAAGACCTGGAACCAACCCAAATGCCCATCGATGATAGACTGGACTGGGAAAATGTGGCACATATACACCATGGAATATTATGCAGCAATCAAAAATGATGAGTTCGTGTCCTTTGTAGGGACATGGATGAATCTGGAGAACATCATTCTCAGCAAACTGACACAAGAACGGAAAATGAAACACCTCATATTCTCACTCATAGGCGGGTGAGGAAAAATGAGAACACATGGACACAGGGAGGGGAGTACTAAACACTGGGGTCTATTGGGGGAAAAAGGGGAGGGCCAGTGGGAGGGGGAGGTGGGGAGGGATAGCCTGGGGAGAAATGCCAAATGTGGGTGAAGGGGAGGAAGGCAGCAAAACACACTGCCATGTGTGTACCTAGGCAACTATCTTGCATGTTCTGCACATGTACCCCAAAACCTAAAACACAGTAAAAAAAACAAACAAACAAAAACCAAAAGAACAACATGGTACCACATATTCTCAATCCTCCATGCACTGGAAGAGATGGACATAGGCTGAATAGTGGCTCTGCATGTGTGCTGGCTAAACAAAGAATCCTACAGCAAGGAGAGCTGTATACCCACTCCCCACACAGCTCCCTGTTCACAGACCACCGTACTCTTCTGGGGAACACCAGGGTTGTTGCTGGCAACCACGCCTACAGAGCCCACAGAGTTAGGGGACTGCATGGCCACAACCCCATGGACATCTACAAAGCAAGACTCTCACTTTTACGGTCTATAGTCATAGGATATATATTCTCCGTACTAGATACATTGCTTCAATGGGAAAATGAGCTCCTGTAGTGTTTACACCGACAGTGAGGGATGCACCTGACCTGGGCTACAGTCTTCATTGCTGAGATCAGGATAGCAGTTATTTAGTCGCCGTTATTGTGTGCATTTGTAACTCAAGAAACTTCACTCCTTGAGCTCATATTCTACTCTTTGAGACAGGACAGGTACACTTAAATGTTTCATCTTAAAACATGGAAGGTTGCTCAGATTATTTAATTTTAACTGTAGTTTCTATAATGCCAAGTAACTCATCAAATCCCCTTTTCCTATTTATTTCAATGCATACGCTACCATCCATCACGATGTGCACTGTGAATATTACCCCTTGACAAACTTTCCACAAAAAAGAGGCACAGTGGAATGCCACAAACAGACTGCAAGGAGAACTGGACAAGTCAAGACCTATTTCCATTTGGCAAATGAGGGTCAATGAGCTTTGGTCAGTGAATGCTCAGGATTAAGACAGAACAGGTGATAGACACAAGACTGTGTTAACACTGATGTCATAAGACAGTGCTGAGCACCACGTTCCCAAACATTACTCTCTGATGGCCTGGATGATATGATTTCCCACAACCTACTGCAGTACCTCTGACCTGATTTTACAGATGGCTGACATGGCCATCCAAATTGTAAGAAATCTGTCATAACAAACATCCCAAAGTCTTAGACCACATCATGTAGTAAGGCCCCACTCCCTGTCTGCACACTGTAGCCTGAGTAGAGAATGGTGTCCAGTGGATTCGTGGGTCATATATTTGAGATCAGGACATACTGTAAACATGAAGCCTGAAACTCTAGGTGCAATTTCAGTCAACATCCTAAATTGTGAACTATATGAATTTCTTCTTCACTAAATATATTTATCACGGAAGAGCTAAGCCCATTCCAATCTCCAAGTGCCCAGAAGTAGTCTGTTGATGTAGCAAGTGGGCAGAGCAAAGCATTCCACG